TGGCGGTCATGGGCGGCCGCGAGCACCAGTACAGCTCGCTGTCGGCCGCGCGGCCCCTGAACGGAACATACCACCACCATCACCACCACCACCCGAGCCCCTACGCTCCCTACGTGGGCGCGCCGTTGACGCCCGCCTGGCCCGCGGGACCCTTCGAGACGCCGGTGCTGCACAGCCTGCAGAGTCGCGCCGGAGGCCCGCTCCCAATGCCGCGGGGCCCCAGCGCAGGTAAGGGTCTCGCCGCATCGTGGGGTAAGGCTCGGAGGCTGTGGGACGCAAGTGGTTGTGAAGCAGCTGCTTGACTCGGGGCCCTGTTTTCAAGGCTTTCGCGTCGGGGTGCCCAGAGGTCGGCCTGGCGCCGGGCAGCAGTTTCCGACCTGTGCTTGGGCGACCCAGAGCCTGACAGCGTAGATGGGGTGCTTCTAGTTTGCGGATTGTCTCAGTTCCTTTCCGCGAAAGAGACAATGTTCGTATATACCTCAGTGCCTAGGAGAAGTTCGAGGGACGTGATGGAATAGTGAATGGGGTGGGCATTTGGGAAAAAATGAGCCCGGGAAGGAACCGACAGGACCTGAGTCCCACCGCAGACGCTATTTTGCTTGCTGGAGTGGGAGAGCCAGACTCCATTTGGGGGATAAGCTAAAGGAGAGTGTTGGGTGCTTGATTCACCCCCCCCCCCATGCACACACAGTCTCGACCGATTCACCTCTCCGAAGGTGAGAAGTAGTGTGTTTTAAAAGAGCTCCACAGTGGGAAAGGATCTAAGGACCTAGTTGGCGTTCCCGCCTCGCCTTCAGTGAGAGGGACACCTGAACTGGTCAGCTTTGTGACTATCCCGAGGGAAAGCTGGTGTGTGTGTGTGGTGGGGGTGGGGAGGGGGTGGGAGGGAGTGTGCTTTGACTTCACATCAGCTGGGCAGGGTGTCTGGGGCTGCTGTTGGGACCCAGCGATTCTGGAGCACACACATCTATCTATTCCTCTAGAGTTCAGCCCACCAAATTTTCAGTTTCCAATCCCACTCATAGTTTTATTCTAGTGTCTGGGGCAATTCGGGGTGAACTGGGAGAACATAATTGTCAAAATACCTGGAAACTCCCCCATTTTGAAATGTTTTGTTCTCCTTAAGCAGGGGAGGGTGTGAACTGTGTTTTCTGGCCTGATGAAAACATATTGGCTTCTTTCCTCAGCTGTAACAGCATTCTGTGTCTTTCTTGGTGTTTTCACGGGTCTCTCTTTATATTTAACCTGCATGATAACCTGACAGACTCCTAAGACAAAACTGTTTTTTGTTTTTGTTTTTTGGCTGTTGTTTGTTTGAGAGGAGCTGTGGGAGTCACAGAGGTGGCAATGACAAAGGAGGCGCATCAGCCTACAAGATGCTACCTGGTGCTCTCACACCCCAGGTCTGGGCAGTTTGTGGGAGCCTCAGCCCTCTATTTAGGGCCAAGTATTTTAGGGGCCCTAATTAGGTTGGATAAAGTGAGGCGTTGCTGGGTTCAAAAGACACGCTGGAAATTCTAGTGGCCTGAAAGTGAAGGATCTGATCTGAAAAGCACCCTCCCAGTGTTACTGGGAAGGGGAAACAAGCTCTTCCTCCATCCTCTCTAAGATTTTGGTTTCAAAATTCTCTCTTTTTGCCCCTACAAAGCTGTCTCTGGAGACCATCTTTAACCTCCTGTGTAGAGTGGGGGCGGGGGGCTCTGAGGGAGCAGAGAGCATTGTCACTCTCTGCGGCATAAGGACCCATGCCTGGCTCCCAAGAGCAGAGAGATGGGGACAGGAGGAATCTTCAAAGGATGGGAAGGGTGGTGACGGTTAGGGTGTGAGGCTTCTGCACTCTCAAAGGGTGTGTGAGTTGGGTAGGGGGCGGGCAGCTGCTGCCGGGGCAAGATCCAGAAGTTCTGCCTGTTTGGTGACACCGTAGCATCATCTCCATACTCCTTTCCCCTAGTCTTGAAACATTTCACAGGACTGAGAAAGAGAAGTAGTCCAAAAAACATAATTGGTGTCTTTCGTTCAATGTTTAAAGTAACTGGCTCTGTGGGAAAATGCTTTTAGAGACGGTAGGGTGCAATTGCAGGCAAGTTATTATTATTTTTTTCATTTTAAACATAGCATACCCTTTCATTAATTTTTTCACCTTCTGGATAGGACACTGAAAAATTAGAAAAATCTTCTGTATACCCAGAGTATGTGAAAAAGAAAAAGCAACCAAAAATCTGAAGGGGTTTGGGAACACACCCAGGCGTTTTTTGCATAGTCTTTTAAGAAAGCGGGAAGCTACTGAGTGAGAATAAACTAGTCTGAGGGTGGGGACAACAAATGACCCTCACTTTGCTTGTCCTCACAGGTGTGCTCATGCTAGAGAGACCTCAGCCCCCAACCCCTATTCAGCTTCCTAGCTAGATTTCCTGCTTCTCCACTTTGATTTTTTTAAACAAACCATTTTTGGAGGCACTCTTTAATCGATTTGGGCAAACAGCAGGGCTAAAACCTGAGTGCTGAGCTTTTTCAACCTGCCTGGTGCGGAGGCCCCTGGGAACCTGCTCCATACACACCTCTCCCTGGTTCTGGTGGTCAGTGTGTAGTGGAGATTCCCGGGGCGAGCTCTGGGCCCTCGCAAGCCCTTCAGTCCCTAGCCCAGTGCCCTCCTAAGCTCCTGCTGAACTATGTTCCATTCTCTGGGTCTTGGGAGGACATTCACTGGCCGAGTCCTTCTCCCCCGAGTCTCTCACTCCCCAGGGGCACACAAGGCAGCCATGTTAGGAGAGAGATGATAATTAGGGGAAAGCTGATGAGCTTCTGGCACCTTCAGATTTTCTAATTTTTATTAAAAGAAGTTTTTCTTACTTTAACCAGTAATAGAATTGTAGCTGCTGGGTGAGGGGTGGGGAGAGGTAGGGACAGGATGGGAGCTATAGATTTTATTAACTAAAAATAAGCAAACTTCATACATTTTATTTATCCAAAGTGGACTTTAAGTTTTGTCTTTGGGTTTTCAGATGACTAAAGAGATTTACCTGGAGAATTCACACTATCTTCTCCCGGGAGTCTTTATTGTTTCCAGCCTGGGGTGGGGGTGGGGGGAGGAGGCCTGGCATAGGGCTGGGTTCTCCAGGGAATGTCCCACTCCTCTATAGAGAGAGGCTCTGATAGGTAACATTTTAAAGTCAACAACAAAGACAAATACCTTGTTTAACTTCAGTGTCCTTGAAGTCCTGAGCATTTTACTGATTACTGTAGTCAATAGTGGCTTTTAGGGTGGAGAAGAATAAATCTTTGTGATATGTTATAAGTTGCAGTATCCCCATGACAACTTTGAACTGGTTATGTAGGGTGCTAGTTTCTTTTAAACTTATTTCTTGAGAAAGGAGACTTTTTTTATGGTAAATAGCAGTAATGGAATAAAGAGTATTTATGCCAAAGACACATTTAAATATCTTTACAACAAACAGTTAATAGTAGAAATAAGTGATAAACTGCACGGGAATGAGGAGTAGAAAGGCTTGATATTATGCATAATCGTCTCTAACGTGTAATGTTTATTTATTGATACTTAAAAATTGATTCAGAAATACTCCTTAAAGAAAGCCAAATTGGAACACTTAAATGTTCTGTAATATAAATAATCCTAAACAGAAGGAGACATTTATTTGAAAAGTCTATTTAAAAAGTACTTATTTAATTAATAACTACCTATCTCATTTTAGATAATCATATTTAACTGATATGGGGGAAATAATAACTGTTACAGGCATTTACTCTTATTAACAGGTTTAGGTTAGTTGAGAACTCCAAAAACTAATCAAATAGCAAAATAAACACAATTTAGAAAGATTGCATAAATTGAAATTTTAGTGTGGGACAGTAGGAAAGTTTTATTTAGCACTGGGGTGGTCTTAGTAATTTTCCGAATCAATAAAATATCAACCGTTGGTAGAAATTTTTCAGATAGAAGCAACCCCATGAAAATCAGAATATTTTAGTCTTTCATCCTTGTTGCATGAAAATAATACATTTGTCTCTGTGCCTATTAATGAATGTTAGTGCATTATTTTCCCTGAGGAGACCTGAGCCGTTTTTCTAATTAATTGATACAAATGCCCAAGAACAGTATTTCTCATTTAAACGTGTCTATTTTTTTTATTGGGGAAAATGAAGGGTAGCAGGTATAGTAAATACTTTTTAAATAAAAAGAAAGATAAAAGAAATAAGGCAGCCTCAGTGTGTCCTAGGATATTAGTGGGCTGGAGCGGGGGTCAGTGATCAGTGTTAATATTGTACGGCTTGCTCAGATTTGGCAAATGGCAATACTGTAATTATGATGGATTCAGTTGAAAAGCTTGGGAACAGCAAGAAAGAAGGGGTCAGGGGACCCAAATCGACCTCTCCCTCAGCTCATCTCCACCCTGAGGTCCTTGGTAGTAAAAGGCAAATGATTCGGGTTAGGCTTTCAAAACTGTCTCGTACTTTCCTGGGTTTTTACTGGGCGCGCCTAGGGGTGCAAAGAATGGTCAGTGGATCGATAGGGACATCACCAGCCAGCTTCCTCTTGGCTGCCGAGCAGAAAGATCCTTGAGGAAGGGCGCGGGCGGGAAGCTGGCAGCGTGTCGCCAGCACTGTGACTGGGGGGGTACCAGGGGTCTTCGCGGGGGGGAGCCTCGGGAGGGGCGGGCGCGGTGCTGCCTCACCGGGCCTTTCGTCCCCGCTCTCACCGCAGACCTGCTGGAGGACCTGCCCCCAGAGAGTCGCGAGTGCGTGAACTGCGGCTCCATCCAGACGCCGCTCTGGCGGCGGGACGGCACCGGCCATTACTTGTGCAACGCCTGCGGCCTCTACAGCAAGATGAACGGCCTCAGCCGGCCCCTCATCAAGCCGCAGAAGCGCGTGGTAAGTGCGAGCGCCACGCTCCCCTGCAGCCGGTCCCCTGGGCAGCCCTGCTCCCGCGCTGCCCCGCCCAGCCCGCGGGGTCCCGGAGCCCCCGAGGAGACAGGTGCCCGGGGCCGCCTGGGTCTGACCCGAGCTCAGGGACCAAGCTGTCCCCTTCATTCCCCATTCGCTGGCGCCCGACTGGAGGTCTCGGGAACGAAAACAGCCTTTTCCCACACTTAAGGCAGGGAATGGCATCCTTAAATGAAAGAGGTAGAAAAAAGAAAGGTGTAGTGTGCTACCATCTTTTTGAAGTACAAAAATCTATATCTACATATCTCTATGTGTACTTGTAAATGCACCGAAATAATTCTGGAAGGAAACACAAGAAATTAGTAATGATGGAACCCCTGGGGAGAAAGACTGAGTATACCCACACAGGTCAGGTGGAGGAAGATTTTTTTTTCACTATGGTACTCTCTAGTCTGGTTTAGATTTTATTCTTGAAAAACTATGTTTGTTTACGATACTCTCCCACCCCCCACCCCCACCCCATAGAACGTGACAACAAACACACTCCTTTTCTCCCCACAGCCTGGTTTGGGGTTCCTTTGATTCTGTTCCTTCTACCTCTGGGTCCCTTCTACCTTTTCTTCTTGGGAGTGAGACAGGTTTTAGCCCCAAATTCCATCCATCTTTTGGATTGCCCTTGACTCTGGTGAAAATTTACTTACTCCAACCTTTGCTATTTTGAAATCTGGCTCTTTAGAGAGCTACATAGAACTTGAGAACAAAAAATGCAGTCTCTGTGTTCTTAAGTTGAGGATTTTCACCAATATGAACACATTTTGCTATGTTTTAAAGCATGCGAATTCTGATTTTCTTCAGGGATTAACCTCTTATTGTCTGTGTGTGTGTGTGTGTGTGTGTGTGTGTGTGTTTAGGAGAGGGTATTTACTGCTGTAGTGATTAGAGAAAATAAATTAAAGCTTTCACAAGCCCCACTGTAAGACCTAACATTTGTTTAGCCAAGCACCCCTATTCTAATACCTTTTAAAGTAAAATATTTTACAGTTAGATGCCAGACATCTTAAGTATCTAAGTAGTTTATTTAATTGTTATACTCTAATTAGCAGGAGCAAATGCTACACATGTTGTTTCTGTTAAATAGATTAGAGTGAAATTGCATCACAATGTAAGTCTGACACCTTAAGGAGAAGCAATTAGTTTTATGGTTGTTTTGTTTTTAATGCATTTAAAAGAAAGCGGCCAAGGTTAATTTAATGAGTGTATGTGCCTTAAACTTGTTACAACCGCCCACAACTTAAAATTTTCTTCAAAGGCCATCCTTAACTTCAGTGTCTGACTCCCTGTGGTTTTCATTTTTCTTACATGCATATTAAAAAAAAGAAAATAGTGGCCAGAAAATATTCCAAGGAAATTCCTTGTTCTCATATATATTAGCCAATGTATTCACAATGAAACTGATTATTATTATTTATTTATTTGTAAAGGCACATTGAACTCAGTACTAGCTGAGGTCGCAAAGGTAATTTTTTTCTATAGATCGAGTGAAAAATGGGTAGGATAGTAGCCATTTAGTTTCTAGTTGCATTATAAATTTGATCTAGTAACATCCATATTTAGATAGCGCCATTTGTTTGGTGCCCTTACCAGTAAAAATAACTTCCCAGAAAAACAATTTTTAACATCTCTAAATCGGTTAGTTTTCCTTCTGTGTGGCAGGTGTCTTGGCAGTAACCAAGGTCAGCCAATGTGCTTTGTAAATGGGTTATAAATGATACCAATTGCAGGGTGTGTCTATCAATTAGTTCTCCTTGTGGGCTTCTTATTTATGGTTTTGATGGATCTACCTTAGTTATCAGAAGTAGAATGTTGAACCCAAGTTTGTTTAGCTAGCAGTACAGAACCAATCATTGTGAATTTGAACTTGTAATACATTGCAAAATAAGAGATTTATGGTGTAACTTGAATTCCTTGTCAGTGATGAACATAACTGAGATCACTTGTTACAAGGAACTTTTATAACCCATTCACCTTCATTTCACATGTTTATGAGGACTGGCTTCACTTATGATCTGCAGTTGACAGTCATAAAGGTCTTTGTTATAATGGCAAATTCTGATAATAAGTTTGCTTCACATTGGCTCCAAATTCCACTGGAAACTGTCATAAATGACCTTTTTATAAAATGAACCTTCCTGTCCCTAGTTGACTGATTTCACATTTACGAAGAGAAAGGAGTGCTCTCCTAAGAAATTTTCTTTTAACTCTAAAGAAAGAAAAGGAAAAAAGCCCTGATATGTAAGATTTTATGTGTTTTCATCATTTTAGCAAAGTAATTCCCCAAATAGTTCTCCTGTTAGCCGAGCATATTCATTTCAACCAAAAGTCAAATTGATTTTTCTTAGCACCAACTTCTTAAAATGTTTTAGTGCTAAGAGGCTTAGCAGTGTCTCTGTTTTTATAACTTGTCTGTAAAGAGTAATGCTAAAGTAATATAACAGGATGTGAACTGTAAATGCAAAATTGAATCTTTTAAATTTGCCAGCAGAGGATTTGGAAATCTTTGTCCTTTAAGCTGTAACTATTCAATACATGCTCAATCTTTATTATTCTTGTACGTTCTTTACAAATTCTTTTAAATTAATCAGTGTAGCTCACTTCCCAAATTCTGTAACTTTCAGCTTGCTTTGGTTTCTGGATGTCCCCCACAGCTTTTTTACTGAAGTCATGGCACCATTTTTTTGAGTTGCCTATCTAGGTAATTTAAAAACAAATTTAGATCTTTGCCATTCATGGGAGGAATTATACTGAGTTAAGTTTTCATTCTTTATAATTCACACAATAATTTAGAGGAAATAAATTCCTTTTAAGAATGTTGTGGGCATAGGGAGCATGGAAACCAGAATGTCGGTGCTAGAGGGTTGACGTTTTGTGATAATGCCATCTAACCCTTTGTGTGAACAAAAGTTAATTACTGTACTGGCAGAATAAATAAAATATATTATTATCATAGTAGATAAGACAATGCCAGCATTAAAACAGTGCCATAACATTTGATCATCCTTTGTAAAATGGATAATACAAAAATTCAGCATTTGATCATGATGGTAATTATGGAATGTATTAAAAATATTTTCTGATGAAAATTTTGTACATTTTCCAAAATCCATTTCTATTTATATATATATATACACATATGCCCTTCTAAAGTTTCTGGTTTATTCCGCTTCATGTAGCTGAGAAATAGACCTGATCAACACATTGGCAGGCAGTTGTGATTGTGTTTCATGACTCGTATATCTCAGACCTGACAACAGTGAGTGCAGCTATTAGTCAACATTGTGACTGCTTCCCGGTTATTCTAGGAGTAGAATCTACACGAATACGCTGGAGCACATTCGTTGTATGTTTGGGATTGAGCACACGATGTAAAACTCAAGTTTCTTGGTCCAGTAAGGTCAACCTAATTACACTTCAAATTTGTTTTTCTCAAGGGACGTCTTGTTTATAATAACTAGGTCCATGTTTGTTGATGACAGAGATACAATACATTGATGTGTGTAGCATATACATAAAAATCGCTTCTAACTGTGCATTTTCTTGTGCTGCTTTGTAGCCTTCCTCCCGGCGGCTTGGATTGTCCTGTGCCAACTGCCACACCACAACCACCACTTTGTGGCGCAGAAACGCTGAGGGCGAGCCTGTGTGCAATGCGTGTGGACTCTACATGAAACTCCATGGGGTGTGCCATATATTCTGCTCATGTGTAGACGCCTTTCGTAGAGTTTGTACATAGTTTCAGTCAAGAAAAAAACCAGCAATGGAGAGGGGATGAAAGTGAAAAATCTGATTTTCTATATGCCTGCTATTGAATCTAGGAAGATATTAATTATATTAAGCTGTTATGTTATGTACCAATACCAGTAAGAAACAAAAAATGATGGGAATTAAAATGTCACACACGTCCATTGTAAGACATTCTAATTTTAGAAATATTAAAATGTGGAAAATGTGGTTTTAGAATTTAACATGGTAGTAATCCTTTTTTATTTTAAAAACTGCACAAAGAAAAAGCATGGAACCAACTAGAAATGCACAATAACTGTTTTATATCTTAACTTAAAAAATTTCGATACAATCAAATTTATACACAGGAGTAATAATGTATTTGATAGTTATAAGTTACAGTTAATGTATTTGATAGTTATAAGTTACAGTTAGAAAGATTCTATACTTCATTTTAAGGCTAGCACAAAATATAAACATGTCAATTGTAAAAAGGAAAATAACTTTGTATATATAGAAGAAAGAGAATACATGATCTCTTTGAAATAAAAATATGTATTCAATGGTTTTACATTGTAATTGAAGTTGTTAAAACAATAAATATTAATTGAAGGAGTAATTTCTCCCCAGTAAGTCAGCCCATTTTCCCTGAAGGAACCTCTGCATTTGACGGGGAAAGTGTAGTCTTTGTGTAGTTGGAATCTATTCCGTGTATGTAAAAATTGGGTAGAGATTTAGGCAATATTCTTTTAAATGAAGGCTTTCAGTACTGATGTTGGGTCTTTAGTTAAAGTTTGCTTTTTCTTCAATATATTTATTAAACGTATGGCCTATGTGAAACTTTTTTAGGTGCCTCGACCGCTTGCTATGAAAAAAGAGGGAATTCAAACCAGGAAACGAAAACCTAAGAATATAAATAAGTCAAAGGCTTGCTCTGGTAAATATAATAAAATGCTATTTGATTGTAAAGTATTTACCAGCTTCAACAGTAGAGTATATGTATATTTATGAGGTTAATTTTGACTGTTGCAGGTAATAGCAATAATTCTGTTCCTATGACTCCAACTTCCACTTCTTCTAACTCAGATGATTGCAGCAAAAATACTTCCCCTACAACACAACCGACAGCCTCAGGGGTAAGTGTTAAAACACTATAGACTCTTTCTAAACTAGTGGCTAGCTCTCTAGTATATTATCGCAAATTTTATCTTATCTGGCACTACAATAATCTAAACTAACAGTTCAGTTTAGTTAGCTGATACCTAAGAATAGTTTTTAGAGGAAATTACATTTAAATGTCAACAAAATGACAAACTTAAGTACTTTACAAACCTCTTAATTAAGATCTGTATCATATTTTTATGGTTAAATTAACCCAAGTAAAAGCAAGAAGTTTTGGTTTGAAGTGCTTTAAATTGTTTTATTTCCAGGTTTTTATCTGAGTTGATATATATATTTCTAATGTAGATCAGAAAAACTACCAGCTCAGTGGTTTCATATATCTCAGAGCCCATGACATTTAAATTGCTTTTGCTTATGTCAAGTCCAACATTTTTTCTTTTTCCTTTCCCTTTCCCTTCCTTTCTCCCTGCTTTCCTCCCTCCCTCCCTCCCCTCCTTCCCTCCCTCTTCTCCTTCCTTCCTTCCTTCCTATTTAAAAATTGTCTGTCCAGAGCACAGCTCATCATAATGTGCCATGTGCTACTGTTTTCACTGATCTTCCTTCACCCAACTGTCCTCTTGCTGGAAGGCCTTGCCTTCTTCAAATGCCCCTTAGTTACCGTGCCCGGGCGTCTTTCAGCCTTGTGACAAAACTGAGCGATTCGGTTTGTGAGCGAGGGTCTTTGGGAAGATTACAGAATTAGTTTCCATAGTGCTGTGATTGAAACTCCGTGTTTCTCAAGTGAAGACCATTTTCCCACCCTAGTGTTTCCCAAATTTATCTGGAATGCTCTTTTAAAAATGACCGGGTTTCACCAAGATCTAGGGTGGGGCCCGGGCAGCCAGACTTTAGGATTATACCGAGACTAGTTTAGGAAGAAACACCAGCATTAAAATCCCTATTTACTTAGCAATTCTTTTCTACATTTTGTTCTGCCCTATTTGGGGTACTTTGAAATACTACAGATTCTTGGGCCCCACCCTGGATTTTCTGAGTCAGAGTCTCTGAGGGTGGGGCTTGGAAATTTAAGTTTTTAAATAAGCACCCCAGGTGAAATTGAAACCGCTGCCCTCAAGGTGTCTTCCAGATAGGGTTTGGGAACCACAGAGCTGGTTTCTTTTCCTCGTATTTTTATTGTCTTAAACAAACAAATTAGACATTTCAAACAATTTTAAACGGTGCTGAAAATAGTATTTCTTTCTTTTTTGTCCTCCAATCCAAATTCTTTTGGGCTTTTTCTTTAATGAAACAAGAAGTGTGATCAGAGTTTCACAAGGGAAAAAAAAGCCTTTCAGTCATTTTTGTTTGTTGCAAACATAGTTAAAGAATCTTTCTATCCTTTATAAAGGTAGACTCTGGTGTACAATGTTTTTACGGGAGAGTTAAATGTAATTTTAAGGTCTACAGTGGTAGATAGAAGAGTCCCTTGTGGGGAAATGAGATCAAAATTATTTTAAAATAGTTTTGATTATGCACTAAGTCCTCAGAAGCAATTACGTAGCTAAACAAGGCAAGACAATGTTCTGGTTTCCCAAAACCTTGAGGGAGCAGCCAGGTTTTTGGCCTCAATGTCTGTCTTTTTTAGCTGAAATGAGGATTGCTGCCAGCTCCAAGTCACTTTTGTTGGTGATATAGTCCAATTTAAGCATGGCGAAAGCCAAATTTGAATGATAAATGGCACAGAAATAGAGATATTTGCCCAACAATGGTCTTTGGGGACTTGGAACCTTAATGGATGGAATCCATTTTGCTCTTGTGGTTTTTGTGATGTAAAGTTTTAAAATTGGCTCTTCGCAACTCCAATCAGTTGCCCTCCCAGGAGTGGAGCAGTGAAAAGGCAGTGACAGGTTTTGGCCTGGGAGTTCTGGCTGCTTTGGTGTTCCGGCATCTCCCACCTGGGACCCAGCATGCCAGAGGTGACTTGCGGGCCAGTACTCTTTGGAGGAACACACATTTTCCTACTGGAGGCCAGGAGGCAAAGCAGCGGGATTTTAGAGATTGGGGGAATCTGAGAGCAGTTCTAGACAAGGTCTTCTGTTGCAAGCTGCCTCCCCTCCCGTAGCCTGGGCAGCCCCCATTGATCCGGCTGTGAGCTACAGGCGGCCTCAGAAATGCTTCTGGACAGCTTTCCCAGGGGTGGGAGGGGTTTGGGGGAGGTGTGGGGATGTGTGTGGGGTGGATTGCCCACCCTCCTCCCCTCCCCCCAGGGATCCACTCCTGGCTCCTCAGGCACTGGTCTGGCACCAGGGTTGCGGAATTTTCTCCAGATGGTGAGCCCATCACGATGTCTCCATCAGCCTTTCGCTACCTGAGGTACCTGTTGTGGGGAACTAGGCCTGCTTGGCAGAAGCCAATCTGGACAATTTGGAAACTTCCCCCTCCAGGAATAATTGTAGACTCCAGTGGTTCTTCCAGGTCACTACCAAGGAGTGCCAGTGTGTGCGTTTAGGTCTCTTAGCACTTTTCAGAGCCTCCTCTGGGTGGACTGGGTCCTTGTACAAGTGGCCAGCATGGCAGCTGAGGAGCTGTGAAGAGCATGTTGGAGGTGTTATCTGTGAGCAGCTGGCAGAAGCATTTGTGAAAGGTGGCTGTGTTGACCACGATGTGTCATTTTGCCATTTTGGTCATGGTTTATGGCGTTGGAGGGCAGTTGGTATTGGGACTGACTGCTTATATGATTTTGTGAAGAGCTATTGGTGAGGAAAATGTTATATCCATATAGCAAGGTTGTGTCTGGTACATAGTACACTGCACCTCCCATGGCTTAGCGTTTAAGCCTCCTATGATGGGCCCATCCCACTGATCTCCAGTGACACCTGTGGTGGAAATTAGGGGTATCCTAGTTTAATTGGGATAACCGAACTTTAAAACAAAGGGCAATCTTAGGCACACTCCCCATGGAAGACAGGAACCGGGGGCCACAATTTCATGTTTTCCTATTTAGAGATTAAGTGGCAACATAACTGCTCCACCTTGTGACTTACAGCAAGGAAGTTGCAGAAGTATTATCAAACTTGCCATTTTAATTCCCCCCCCCCCTCCTCCCCAGGAATCAGTTCTAGATCACTGGTAGGCATTCCCAGCAGGCTTCTTTTCAGCCCTGGTGTTCCTACCCTGTGCTGCCTGTGGGCGTGTTCAGGAGGTGGCACCGGGTCCCCAGCACGGCCTAGTTCCTGAGCCAGCCTGGCAGGAGCTGAGTATACTGGAGGGAGGCCCTCCTAGTGCTGTGTGTGTGTGTGTGTGTGTGTGAGGGGCTCCAGAGTTCCCTCCCCAGCAGGATGGAGGTGTGGGCAGGATTCCTAGCAACAGCATTCAACATTCTTCCAGGACAAGTGTCCAAGTGCCACGAAAATCAATTTGCACTGCTCTGAAGCCTCAGTTCTTTAAGGTTTTTGCATGTCTTAGCTTTATGTACTTGTTGCTACATTGTGTTTTAGCTAGACTTCTGTCTGGGAAAAAAGGAGCCATTCCTTCTGATGGACATCAGGTCGCTGACTCAGCTATCTTATGACTCAGTTTCTCTTTTTTTATAAGCTGTGCGTGTGTGGTGTGTGGATGTTGGAGGTAGAGAAGGCAGTTTGTTTCCTGTGAAAGATCAGGAAAACCCACTGCCATGCAGCCCAGGCTTAAAATAGCCCATGTCTTGTTCCTTTGGTGTTCTTTGTTAAGAAGTGTGTTAAACTTAATTTTTGATAGACTGTTGATTTTTTTTTTTGTGACTTGAATTTAAAGATAAATTTCCCCCAAATAGTCTTCCATTCTGTCTAAAATTTTCTTATACATGTAGATTTACTGAAAAATGTATACTTAGTTGACCTAAATAGACATCAGATTTTCTTTGGCATTTATATTCTCTGCGGAGTGTAAGAATATTTAAATGTTTCATTGAATTCCATTTATTGACTGAGTTATGTCTTACAGGGTTTTGTTTTTTGTTGTTTTTGCTATTGTTAGTTAGGAGGGAGATATAGTAACATGGTCTATTTCAGCAATTCCTAAATAAGATTTAGTAGTTTATAAATATTCCTATTCTTATGACTTGTAACTAAACATTTGTAAAACTGGAGGATACTTTGTGTGTGTGTGTGTGTGTGTGTGTGTGTGTATGTATGTGTGTAATGTATATATATATGTAATATGTGTACATATAACATATATTTATAAACTTTATAGTTCAATCCCCAAGTTTTATTAGTTAAAAGGTAATTTTTAATTTCCTTGGAAACAGGAAAGATTAATTTGAGGACAAAATAAACAATAAGACTTAAAGTCTGAGGATAAATTGCTGAGCATATTTTGCCTGTCTAAAAACAGTTCTATAAATAATTATTAAAAAATTAAAATTTACTTACGTTTGTATTAAAACTACAAATATAATGTTGAAGTCATTAAACATAGAATGTTGAAATAAATGGAGATGAACTATATATGACTAGCCCTTGCCTTTACAGCCATTGTTCCATTTAAGAAGCACTGTGCTATGGGAGGCTCTGTTTACAACGGAGTAAAACAAGGCCCCTGACCTCAAGTTGTTCATAAGGTGGTAGGGGCGGGTATAGACAGAATTTACTGCTGGTTAGATTTGGAAGTGCTTTAAATGAGCGACAAAGTACAGTAGGAGGTGAAAGATGGGAATGGTAGCTTCTGACTACAGAGTTGGAAATGGCTTCACAGAGGACAGGAAGTTTGAATTAGTTGGGTGGGACTTTTGCAGGGGAAACACAATGGGATAGAGGTCTCCAGGAGGAAGAGGAGCATAGTATCTGTGGCACTTCAGGGACATAGTTTTTGGAGTTCGTAAGTATGACTGAAGTGTGCAGGGTGTAAGATGCCAAAGGCAGGCGGTGAGGCTGGTAAAATATGTGGAAGGTAGACCTTTGAAACAATTTCAAATTAATACCAAGTCAGCCTTAAGCAGGGCCCAAACTGCATTCATTGCTAAATGATGGACTTTCTCTAACCTCACCCTCACTGC